GAAAATTTGGACTCAAATAATAATGATTGTTCAGATAAAATGACACCTTGTGAAAGACACGGTTCATTAAACATTTAAATGAAATGATTATAATATTTTATTTAATAATTAAAATTTTTCCAATACTAATCAAATAAGTATTAAATAAATAATTGGGTGTTACATTTAAACCTAATATTTTTACGATTATTATAAATTATATAGATTATTATATATTTTTCCACTGGACACGATAGTACACTATGTCTAGTATATTTTTATAATTATTCACGTAGCTTGTAAAAACAATTTCTTCATTTGGGCCGCAACATACATTTAATAAAAGCCCATTCCTTTCCCTCCTAAAAAAAATATATACATTTTTTTATTTATTTACCATGAGTACCTGACCAGAGGGTCAGGGGCATTTATACTGGTTTACTATTTCACGGGTTTATATCGATCGATCAATTTTACAATAGTGATTTATTTTTAAAATATAGAGGCATTCTTTTTAACAATATACGTATATTGCATATAATAATAATTAAATTACACATTTGAATAGATAAAAATTAAAGACATGTAAATTAAATAAATAAGAGCAATAAAATACGAATATTTAAAATATTTAATCATGAATTTATGGAATTGTAATGTAACTTTATACAGGTAATAATAAAAAACGATAGACGTATTACCAAAACAATTTAAGGTACTTGTGCATTATCGCGCCTACCGCCGACTCGTCGCGACTACCTTGATTTTACTTTTAAGTTATCGCGACTAGGTACCTTGATTTCGAATGTATTATTTTACGCAACATATTTTTAATACATTTATAATAATACAAAACTACCCAAAGCTAAAAGTCAATGTAGTTGGTAAGTTCCACAGATCCATTGCCAAATAATCGTAACTGTACAACAAGTTATTACTACTATAGTATGGTTGTGACTAAATGTCTACAATAGTCCAATAAGTTACCCAGCCAGTCTATAAAAATTTCAATAAGTGCAATTGTAACGATAATGGAAAAAATAGAATTAGAAATAGAATTGCGTATAAAACGGCGTCACTAAAACCCATAATAAGAGGTAGTCGTGCGATAGGCGCGATAACGCAAAAGTACTCAATTTAATATTCATACGCTAGAATATATTAAGTAGCAGTTACACATAATATACTAATCAAAAAGTTTAAAAGTGTCAACAACTCATCAGAAGATAATTACAGTCGACAACTGAGAATTTAACAATTAATACGACCTAATTCAATAGGTATAAAGTCAATTTAATGTTTAATTAAGTTATAAAACATAAATGGCTTAAATGTGCTATAGTTTGGCTAGTGGTCTAGCTAAATTTAAATAGACAATTTGAGATTATTATTTTTGCGCCGTCTGTAACATAATTTAAAAAATTAATTTTCCAACAGTTTTGACTCAATATCCTTATAAATGTATAAAAGTTAATTCAGTACAATTGACAAAATATAGGTATACCTACTTTGATGGTAAAATTAGCACGGATCTAATCTCCTTAATCAATTATATATATATGAGTGTGTGTGTGTGTATATTTATATTTATATATATTCATAAATGTGACGGTAAACCATATAATTTACTATTAAACGCAGCGTACTGTGTCTTTTATATATTTCTATATTTATCTGCAGTGCCGCAATAACCAGGTGTGTTGCGTGTGTCAAACACACGAGCCCATGGCTCTATCCTATAATAGGGCCCAATAATAATATATGAAAAATATGTAGAAAGCAAAAAAATAAACAAATAAAAACAAAATAAATATTTTGTAATGATAATGGAGATTGATCAATAATTGATTGTTTTTTTTTACATATTATCGTATATCAACGTTATTTTTTGCGACCTATATACCTAATCGAAATTCAAAATAGTTTGGTCAAAATTGATTAAAGGTACAGTTTTTCTACAGTGTCCGGACATGAGGAGGGCATTAATTTTATATACACACGGGCCCAAGTTAGTGTAGATGCGGCACTGTTTATCTGTATTTACATATCATTAGAGCCGGGAAATACATTCCATTTACTATGAATCAACATGACTTCTACAATTATTAATAAGTTTATAGACCGAATACGACGTATGTATTTTTGAGTTTCGATGTATATTACGGACAAACCGTTTGCGATTTATTAAATTAATGACCAATGATTTATTTTTTCCAACCGCCTTCAAGCCGGTCCAGAATTAAATATTAATTTACAGCCGTTCCGAATAACCGTTTTGGGGTAGACTGCACTTAAATAGGTTAAAATCGACATTAAATGAACAGGTCCAGTGGCGCAATCGGTTAGCGCACGGTACTTATAAGACAGTTGTTCGTGAGCTATGCCGGGGTTGTGAGTTCGAGCCTCACCTGGACCATGGAATTTTTTGCATTTTTTTTTTCTTTCCGAATAATATAGTTATAAACTTAACCATTCGGCCGCCACTACGCTTTTACTCGATGATTTAACAACACTCCGTTCGCTTAATTCTTGTGTTAGTATTTTTATAATTCGTCGCCAATAGTTTTTTTTTTCAATGTTTTTAAATTTCAAGTTGATTGAATAGATTGCAACTAAAAAATATACGAAAAATAATAATTTCTAGAATTTCTAGAATTTAAATAAAAATTAGTTTTACCCCAATAAAAACCCACTGTTGTGTAAATAAAATCACTAAATTAAAAAAGCTTTTTTCAAATTAAAAAAAATGATGATAACTTAAAGTGACAAAGTAATTTGGTCATTATTAGTAGTTCTGATAATTATTCGTACTAACCAAAGGGTTAATATTCGTTACAAGCTACATAGAACCGTCTGAAAACGAACAACAAAGATGCATGTCTAGGATCGAAACCTTATAGAAAATTAGAAATCATAATGAAAAAAACCTTAGTTGATTAAATTAATTATTAATTAATTTTTTTAAAGAACCACTGATAAATGCATGAGTTCTAGTATTTGATTTTTACTTCTTCTTCTTAAGTCCATATTACAAAAACAAAATTTAGGTGACCCTTCAATTAATATTAGAAACTATCTTTTTCTAGCGCTTGCAAATTTTATCAAACTAATGTCGTCTTCCAAGGGTTAGCTAGTGATGGTTTTTTATCAAATCTATCCAGCACATCAGAGGAATTGGAGGATTCAACATATTGACATAAATGGACATGCGATTAGTAGGTGATATTTTTATTTTCAATTCAGCACATGGATAGCTCTTTTACTGCGATTACTTTGGATATACAGAATAAACTAAGGGGAACATAGGTTTTTAGTTGACTAGACAGTAGACTGATTAAGTATGAAATTAGTTTTGTTGTTTAATTCCTGGGCAGTTACCCAGCCAGTAACTAGTATTGCACGTGGGAGCCTAAAAATACCATACGATGAAAACTACAGATAGTTTTGCAATGACCATACCCAATAAAAGACAATTTCAGTCATAATTAATTCATATATGTATTTTAAATTACCATAGATACTATGGTATGCGTACATTATTTTTACACACAACAGTTAATAAAAAAAATATTATTAAATGCAGTAAAAAAAAATACATAGAAATTCAGTTTAGCTGATAATTTATCGCTCATAATTAAATAAAACATGAGTGTGAAAAAATCTTTGTTATAAATACAGAAAGGTATTCAGATGAGTTTGGGATTACATTTTCAAGGTTGAGAAATAATAATCGAAAACCCTATAAATTCCAATAGAAAAAATTATATAATCATTATTAATCACAAAATCAAATATATTAGTTATTATAACACTTACAACCTTAATAATAAAGAGGTACCTTGAACTTCTTAAAATCTTGTGTAATTATTATGAATGTACATAATTATCTGTGTTTGGTTTAAAATTATATTTTTGTCAATAACACTAAATTCATTTTTTGTATTACTTAGTCATATAATATGAAATATTAATTCAGTTTTGATTAACAAATTATGATTTATCATTTAGTTAAATTTATTTTTTTGATTTAATTTTATAGGGGTAGTAAATGTTTCAAATTTTTTGTGTGTTTTATTAAATTAATAATTTATTATCAAAATAACAAAATCACATACAGTATAACAATGTAACAATAAATTATTAATTAATCTACCTCATTAAGCAATGCTTGTGGCGAGGTAGATGAGTTGATAAAAATTAAAATTAAATAGGAACAATAAAGTGATACAGATGATTTTTTTTTTTTGCAATATACAATATAATTTTTTTAACAATTTATTATGATATAAATATAGATATTTTTATCTATCAAATGAAAAAAAAGAAGTAATAAATATAACAATTATTTAGTTCAATCTATAAACACATAAAAGGTATACTTATTCCTTATTTTTTTTCAATTTTTTTTTTTAACTTAATTATTCCAAGACAAAGCATATTCATTATTAAACTTGACTTTGCAATCCATATTTCTAATTTATTATGATGTGATGGTTATCAAATGGGTAAATACATATTACCTACAATAGAATCCGTTTTAGATACACTTCAAGAAACCATTTAAAAATAAAGTATTGAATGAAATTAACAAAAAGAAAATTACACTTACATTTTTTTAATAATATAAATTAATTTAAACTAACATGAAAAATAATCTATTTTAATTTGAATCATAGTTATAGAATAAAGGAATTTATCATTTTTATTAAAAGAAGTAAAATTATGGCAACACTGTTAAATGATGTAATTAATCTTTTTAAGTTGATATATAATTTACAATTAATGTTATTACATTATATTGAAATTCTTGAGTCATCATTGTTTCTGGCAAATAGCTCCAAAATCAAATAAATGTTATCACTTTATTATATAAAAATCGGTATTACCATATATGTTATGACGGTAAATAGATTTTTTTTTTGTATTATACCAAGAGATATTTTTATATTAACCAAGAGACTCGCGAAAATTACCAAATCAAGTTAGAAATGGTCTATAGCCTGAATATCTAAAAATAGTTCTACTGTAAATAGGTACATTTAATATTATAAGCCATAAAGTATTAAAAACACAATTTTTTTTCCATTATTAAACAATACCAGTTGGTTTCAAATTTTGTGGATTACTAGGACTATTTAAACTTGACATGGTTTCTCTCATCTGAAAAAAAAATAACAATTATATATATAAATAAAAATATTACCCTAATTGAATTTAGTAATAAATATATTTTTATTTAAATATATAATATGTATTATTCAATATGTTAGTTTATTTTATCAACATTTTTGTTTTATTTAATTATTATTTTATAACTAAACTTATACTAACATCATAAATACATAATAGTTACTTAATTAATTTAAAAACCATAGAAAATGCAATCAAAATTTTAAAACTATAATTATTAATATGTATATAGACTATAATTGCCAAATAAAATATGATAGTCATGGTGTAATTTTGATAAGTTTGTTAGATTGTTTTTAATTTGTTGGTCTTATATTTAATTATTATCTAAATATAAGATTTTAATACACTGAATTAAACTTGGAGTCCAATCAGAATTTTTTAATTCAATAAACAGAAAAAATAATAATTATATTATAAGAAAAAAACAAAATTATTTTTTTAATAACCATATTCTATAGAAAATTGAACAAATTTATGATATTATAATGATATATTTTAAAAAAATTTTTACTTTTCCAATATTTTGAAAGAAAAAACTGCTTGCCATTGAAGAAATGCCAGCATTTTCTTGATTTCCACTTTTACATTTAATATAACCATGCAAATTAGCTATATTCAAAGTTAATGCTATACTGACTAATAACTGCAACAGAAAATCAATACATTCATTAGTGAAAATCATTGATTACAAAAAATTAAAAAATAAAAACTAGATATTTTCTACATACCAGCCATTTAAAATGTATAGTGAAGAATGATGTAATAAAAAACAACACCCACATTGCGGTGACAGACCATAACCCAGCCCAAAAAATTCTAGATTCACTTGGGTTCACATAATTCTGTATAGGACCCTGTTGATAAAGGGAACTCATAATATTCACTGACTAATTATGCACTTAAAAGTTATGATTCAAATACAGAAGGAGAGATACATGAAGTAATACAGAAATTAAAGTTAATGTTTATCTCTTAAAATTGGAGGGAACCAACAATGTCTCACCTTGCGGGACTCATAAACCCAATGCGATACACCATCGTCATCAACATAATTCCACCATCTAAGGCCAACCATAATTCGACCTAAAAAAATTAAATTACAATAACAGATACATCAATAACAAGATTAAACATATAATTTAAGTTACAGATTATTATATAAAATTAACTAATTAACTTTTAACTGACCTGTTATATTTTTTACAGTCCAGAAATCCATAGATAATAATAAAATAATAAGAACAAATAATGTGATAAAGCTTTCAGTAAATAATCCCCCAAAAAAATAGATTACTACAGCAGACACTCTGAAGAATAAGTGAAAAAATGTCACGTATGGGTGCCTGAAATGAAAAATAGCATTAAATGATATATAAATTTTAAAATAATTTTTTATGGGAAATTACATAATTTAGAAAAAAAAATAAACTATACAAAATGTTATTGACTATAATATGATTTTCAATAAAATAATAAGTCATGGTAAAAACTCTGTGGTCTAACCCAGATTTTTCAAACTTTTTGAGACCACAACTCCCTATAATTCCATCAAGAATTTGAGAGATGGTTTTATTATGATAACATTAAAAAGTAACGATAAATTAATCCTTAACTTTTATTGATTGTAATTTTCAACAATCCTTATGATATTTACAAAAATACTTTTCTAATTATTTTATATATTGGTGAACCTACAAATGTTATTGGTTACCCCTAGTTTGAGATTTAATGACCTAACCTATAGCCCTAAGGTTGCAAGTGATCAAAAAAGATTTTTTTACCTTTTTAATGGCTGTTTTGAATAAAAGAAAATATTTCATAATTTAATAATTGTTGTAAGATATTTCATTGAAATTAATAATTTATATATATTATTAATTTTAACTATTATTATTCAATGTTATAAAAAAGATTGAATAATAGTTTAAATTTATAAAAATATTCATGGACTAATAATGATAATTTTTTTTTTGCCTGCCATTTTTATTTTAATGTATAAAATGGACAGCAGAAAACAAAAGGTCAAACTACTCTAGAATAGAATAACTAAACAGACTAATTGATGTATAGAATCAATGTAATTTGACCATGTACCATCTAATAACAATACCGTTAACTAATGACAAAGTCAGAAAATAAGGGAACAAAAAATTCTCGGAGCATGAAAAATTATTTGATACATGACAAGTAGAAACTAAAACTCAACTTACAAGCCGCAGTTTTAAGAGTTCATTATCAACATTTGGTAGTAACAAGCAGCTGATAGAACAATGTAGATCTATCGCAATAGTATAATAAGTGTTTCCCAAAAATGAAAGGCAGCGTACATATTGTGTCGGATAAACCATTAATTTACTAAATAATAATTTTCTATGGTGTTGCTGAAACTTACGGTAATTTCCCGGAATTCAATGTGTTCTCCTCTCCAAAAGGAATAGTGTCGTCTATAAGTGGATCCTGACATGGTGGGAGAAAAAAAAACACAATTAATCCACTGTGTGCAATAATCAAAAATAACGAGCAGTGTACATTGTTTAATATTCAAAACTATGGTTTACCATTTTACGAGCAACAAAATTGACCAGTACGAATAACTGTTCTGACGTGTGACAAGTATCAGCCAACGATCCAATGAATGTTTAGTACGACGAAGTAGTTATTACATAGTACTCGCAGGGACGATGATCATAGGTTGAAAATCGACCAAGTACCTATATCGAACGGTAGACCTCACGTAATTCTAAGTTTTTTGCCCGCTAAAAGAAACGTTGACATCACGACACTCGAAGACCGCCGCTGTTGTTGCGTGTCCACAACGATGTAATCTTATCATACGATAAAGACGAATAGGTGATAATACGCAACAGTGATAACGCGTTGCCGACAAGTTGTGTTAAAAGGCCAGTGATAGTAGATGACAGAGAAATTCCCTCCACGCAGGGAAATTTGAGCATAAAATGTATGAAAGGGAAATTTCAGTGTATTTCATGAAAGTAAGGGAAATGTTAATCAACTGTAGGTATATATACAGATTATACGAATTAGAAAGCTTAGGCACTAGACATAAACTTACTAAGATTTTAATTCATGGCTCTAGATAATAATTATTCGTAGAATCTGTGATAAATTAATAAAAATAATAACTTCTGTTTTTAGGTGATTATATTCGTTATCAGCTAAAATTATCGACAAACCTCCACAAAAAAAAAAAAGTTATGACCCCAAAGAAAACTAGAGCATTTCGTTACGGTCTGTCCAAAGAAGAAAAATAAAGAAATATTGTTACAAGACGTATCACCATTACCAAATGTCATAGAAAGTGTCACGCACATATAATAATGTAACCTTAGTCTTAAAAATATACAATGGCAAAACAAATGCATTATTAATAACTACAGGATAAGCTGTCTTTTGAATTAATAATAATGATAATGTAATAACCTAAAATATATTGTCAAACTCCACGATATTACTCTCGGAAATACGAATTGTCAAATTATAAAATATGAAATCAAGGACAACAGGATATATGTAATGTCCTGGACAGTCCCATGCAAAAGAAGGATGACCTAGAAACATAGAATAAATACCGAGGAACGCGAAGACAAGAGTCAGTCATCATCAGTTACCAATAGTCAGAAGTAGTTGTAGAGAGCCAGGAAAACCTTCATCACGGACCCAGTCCGAATGTGCACAACCAGATCATTATGGCTTAGGTACTAATTTATTGCTATAAGCCCTCTGTCGCATGTAGATGTGTACATTTGGATCAACCTCTTAAGCATTGTACTCTTATGTTTTGTATTTTGAGTATAAATAAATATTAACTTCTTTACTACCGACATCGTACGGTCATTCTATCTGGTTTGCAACAATATAAATCAAAAACTTTTCAGAAAAGAATGGCTTGATGACAGTAACTTTAAACTATAGCTTTTAGAAGATAAATCTGATTCTTCTAAATGTAAATGCAAGGCATGCAATGTAAAACTGTAAAAGTAAAAGTGTAGAAAAAGTGAATTAGAAAAATATGCTCTTAGGTTTAAACATAAAGCAAACATGAAATCTATTAGTGGTCCAAAGTTACAGAATTTATTTGCTGTCCAATCAAATCAAGCCGAAGAACCAGGTACAATTAGTGTAAAAAAAAGCTGAAACTATATTATCAGTTTTTTTTATATCATAACGTTGCTTTCATTATAGTGGATCATTTAATACCACTTCTGAAAAATATATTTAATGAATTCAAATTAGTTAGAGATATACAAATGTACAGAAAAAATGTACTCATATTATTAAAAACATTATAGCCAGTGTCGTAAAAACCGGGTGTGTAGAGTGTGCATTGCATGCAGGCCCTGGGCCTCGTACCATATTATGGGGCCTCAAAAGGTCAAATGTTCAAGTTACCTATATACATAGTATACATAGTATGCCTATAAGATAGGTATACTATGGCTTTGCGTGGTAGATTTTTTACTATGTAATTCGTTATTAGGTCATGACCTGGGGATTTTTTGGCGGGCATTTTTTTAATTATGGTATTGATTTCATCGGGAGATGTAGGTTTGGCAGGCAAGAATATTGGTAGAAGAGTTTTAAGGTACTCTTCAATAATTTTTAGTTGGGTATGGCTGGGTTGGATATCATGAGGAGAACAAGAATTTTCTAGGTAATATGCTAAAATATTTGCTTTGTCAATGTCGGTAATGACCCATGAGTTGTCATCATTTCTTAGAGGAGGGGTAGATTAATTTAGACGGAGTAAAGATTTGGTCACTTTCTAAAGAGATGAGTTTTTTGTAGTTAGTGATTCAAAATAATTATTGTAGGATTGATTTCTGTCCTGTTGGATAGCCTTTTTTATTTTGCTGTTCAATTTGTTAAGTTTAACCTTGTCGTTGGGGTACTTGAATGTTTGCCATTGATTCTTTGTTCTGCATTTTTCGGCTAGTAATAATTTTATGTGATAGGGGGTTTATTTTTTTGGGGTTCGTATGGTTATAGGGTTTTGCTGATTCGAGTGCAGCTTTTTGGATAGAGATTGTGAGGAGACTAACAGCATCGTTGATGACGTCCGACATTTTTAGTGAGATCGAGAATTTAATATCTTTGTTAGTTACTTTTTTAAAGGTAGACCAATTTAGTTGACTTGGGGTAAGAGATTCGTTTTGTTGAGGGGGACGTAACGACGGCCATAAGTAAAAATTTTAATTCTTACAGATACACGTTGATTAGCTTTGCACCAATGTATTGTTCGACTGTTAGAATGATGGACAGGCTTACAACATTATTTTATAGTTGCTGTTCAAGAAGATAAATTAAAATCAAGCGAAATCATACTAAATGATCTCAATAATAGAATTATAAAATGTTACTTTTATTTCTTAAAATACGATTTAAATTATTTTAATAAATTTAATGCTCTTTTTCGAAGTCGTAGTATTTCAATTAATTTACTGTAAAACAATTATATTTATCTTCTTAAAAATATTTGCCAAAATTTTGTCAAGCCACATTTAATCAACGACCATTTATATGAAATCAGTTTTTGCTGACAAAAATAATTATTTATCTTGTGATGAAGTTTTTGTTAGGGCAGATTGTCAATTTGAATTTAAAAAGATACCAGAAAATGATAAGGACATAATTTAAGAATTTAAAAAAATTGTTTTCAATTTTATCTAAAGGCTGATGAAGAAATGGTAATGCGTCTTCGTTTTGAAAATAACATATTTAAAGAAATGTAATTTTTGAATCCTCACATTGCGTTTTACCTGAATGGTTGTTCAAATTATGAAGGGTTTCTAATTCTTAACAATACATTTTCATGGTACATAGATACCTACTTTTAAAGTCGAAGAATAATACAGAAGTTTGTCGTGCAATTTAAGTAATGAAGTAGCCCAACAATTATCAACATTTTCTTTACTTGAAATGTGGAAAAAGATAAATATGTATCAGATTAAAAATTAGATTTTTTTATGTAAATAATTTAGTATTAAAAAATAAAAATGTAAAAATAATAAATATAACATTTGAATGCACTTAACAGTAAGTTTTATATTTTAGGCAGATTGTGTTGAAGAAGGTATTTTATTTCCAAACATATCTAAATTAGCACAGTTAGTGCTAACATTGCCATGTTCAATTGTTGAAGCTGAGAGAATATTCTTTATTGTAAATGAAATTTAAATTAAAAAGAGAAATAAGATTGGTGATGATGCATCAAATGAAGTTGCTATCATAAGATCTTCATTTCAAGATAAAGGTGTAACTTGCACTCCATTTGAAGTAACTAAAGAGCATATGGTTTTACACAACACTAACAATTTGTATTAATTTTTCTCTTTTTTATAAAAAAAAGTATTTATTTCTTCTTAACTATATGTATTTAAGTTTGGTAAATATTTAAGAGTTTTAAGAACTGCTAAGTTATATCGCTGAGTAGGTATGGTTTATACATTATAGTTATATTATATAATTTATAAACTTTGTATATTGCACGTAATAGGAAATTTAAATACACTATATACTATACTCTATTATACAATTTAGTATTAAACCGTTGAGTATGTAAAAATTTCAATGGGGGGTCCGGACCCGAAACTCCTCCTTGGGTACGCTTTTGATAATAACCACTACTCGCGTAAACGGTAAGTCATCGGGACCAATCTATTGACACACAATATAATATTATATAATGTATAACTAAACAAGGTACTTCTGGTATTACGTGGAACTTTACAAACTGTGATGCCTTATTTTTGGTTAGCACAACAAATTATTTTTTTCCATTAATATTTATAATAATATAATATTATGTACATTCCAATAATTATTAATTTTATATTAATTAATAATAAAAAATTTTATAGCTCTTAATTACTTAGGTACCTACTTTTTAATATTTAAAGATGTTATGAATAGTAATTAGTTATGCTTAAAAATTAATAAGATGCATTCGTCTACCGTGTAATTTTATACAGGTATAAACTAAAAGTACAATAATATAAAAAAAAGAGCAATATTTAAACTAGTTTTAAGATTAAAGCATAAATAATCACTAAGCTATCTCATCGCCAATTGTTTTGCATTGCCTGGGTACCTGTGTAGGTTATACAAGTGCAATTACGACCGCTAATTAATACTAATAAATTATAAGAGTTTGTTTGTATTATAGTAATTATATAGACAAATCGTAAAATAATACTGTGTTTAATAGTAGTATTCATAAGTATGCGCACAGGGTAGTCAGAGTCAGAGGCGCACTGGGTAGGCACCGGCCCAATGGGCAAATTTTAGAAAGTGACCTAAAACATAAAAAAATAGCTCTAACTGCATTTAAAAAATGTCATTTATACATTTTTTTGTTTTAGGTCGTTAGCTGATGCCTTCAACTCAGCATTTCTTTTAAGTCAAAGTTTCTCCGATCCTCACTTAGATTTTTTTTGGTTTGGTTCAATACCAACTCAACAATTAAATGAAAATAAATTAATGAAATTAAACTAAATTAAATGTATGATCGTAATAATCGTATTTTAAATTACTTTATGTTGCGCATAGATGCTTAGTGCATACTGTCAACTGAAAAGACGTGACAGTTACGGACTAAGATATTGATATTCTTATCTACCCTAAGCGATAATTTCCTCGCATCAGATTATTCATATATCATTCGTGTGTGAATGCCGCGCGGTCGATTATTATTATTATTATCCGATTAAAATTTAATTATTAGTGATATTAATATTCTTTTTATATATATATTTTTTTTTTTCATTATACTTTAATACTTAATTGAATAAAAAAACTAAAATTATTATATTACATATC